TGACAACTTAAGCATGTTGAGGTAGTTCCCTCTTGTAACAGTGTTATTTACTTGACAACTTGTGGTGTCAACTGTCTATGAAGGTGGACGTTGACCCAGATAAGTTGACTATGGGAAAAGACAGGACACAGGTAGTCAGCAGATCTCCAGATAAGCTACAATTCTCATTGGGAGTTCTAGCATTGTATTTCACTGACAACTGGACCAAAAAACTAAAAGAGGCTCTACTGTTTAATTTTACATTTTTGCATTGAAAAAAATTCTTCTGAATTTAAGAGCAATAAAGACCTAATTTCGACCAAAATTTCATTGTTTTCCTAATTTTCTGCCAAGGTGACCTAGTTTCAAATGCAAGGTAAATTGCTGAATGAAGAATGTGTATGAAGTGTCCAGCATTAAAGGCTTTTGTGTGATGTTTCCTCTGGGTTGTCCATGTTCTGTGTGAAGAAGTATTACATACTGCTTTAGAAACCTGGACCTAGATTTTCGAAGCTCTCTTAGCGCTAAGAGAGCCTTGAAAATCTAGGCCCAGGGCTGTAGGGAACGTACTTCATGTTCAGCATGTAATATTTGGGTTGTGAGTTTGTGGGATTCACAGTCCCTGAACCATGTTAGTTTCCCGTCTGCCCAAACCTCACGGTGATGCTATTATAAACCTAAATGAAGCAAGTCTAGATCTTCAATAGGTTCGGGGATCTCCTCCAGCCTCACTCGGGCTCATGTCCACTTTGAATTTGGTTGAACGTTTATTTCAATATTCTACAGAGACTAAGGAGTAGCCTTGGTCTATGACAAGACTCCTTTACTTTCAGGCTATATTTGTAGATAGTTACACTAAAGTAAAGTACATAAAATGATCCATTTAAAAAACATCCCCAAAACAATGTTCTGTATACATTTCCTCCAAACTGCTGATAGTTTTTAAGCAGGGAGGGGAGACCAGGGTGGGGTGGGGTGGTATGAGAGGTACAGGGGACGGGCGATGTCGAGGGATATATTTTTGGAAATCAACTTCTCTGTTCTGAATGTTTCAGAGTACGCTCTTATTCCTTCCTCATGAGAATAATGACAGACTTGCATATTATAATGACTCAAACATTATAAGATGAATGCAGCAGTAAAGATAACACCATGATGGCACTGAACTGGCTGTAGGTCTTTTGTCTGTATATATTTACATATAGACTCGCAGTAAATAATATTGCTCATGTTATTTTTAACGATAATCATACATGCTGTTTCACTCACTTCAGGGAAAATATAATAGGGTAACACATCTCTTAAACAGGACGGTTTTAAGGGACCAGTTGCATTAAACAAGCACGTTTTGGCATCTGTCTGTTATAAACAGTTTTCATTCCAGAACACTTGGTACTATCATCCACGAGACTAGTTAGAAGTGCTGAGCGGCCATCAACAGACATGAACTGGGTGATGATGTGGCTAGGGTTACCTGCCTGCAGCGGTTCAACTGAGCCCGGTTTATACATGTTCTTACTGGTATAGCATCAGACAGACACGTTTAGTTGTGCAAGTTTGCTGGATGAGTCAGCTGGAGTATTGAATATCAAAGAAATGTTGTAAGGGTAGTAGCATTGTAATTACAAAGCTTCTTATCTTCACATACGTTTAAAGAGATTGAGAATTATAAGAAATGGTCAGATGAAAATCAGCAAATGGGTTCACATATGGCATTCTATTTGTTTTTGTTTGTCTGCAGTCACTTGTCTGATGCCTGAGTCTAGTAAAATTCCATTTGGTCTAGTAAGCTCAGCTAGAAGGTTGTAATTATTATAGTTATTTTCAGTATTATATTGCACACTAATAATGAAAAGTAATGGCCCTGTCCTGTGTTGTTGATCAATGCTGTGTGTGATTCTAGACATGGCTTTATGTCTAGGATGAAGACAGTTAGCCTTGCTCTAAACAGTACTTATTGCTCAGACTATGGATGTATATTGTGTAGTAATTCTATTCTTTAAACATGTTAAAGAGTCAAGTCTAGATGGGTACACTGTGTGAAGCCCATTTCTGGTGTCCCCCGCCGTGATGTTGCTGGAATATTGCTAAAAGCGGCGTAAAACCAAACTCAGTCAGTCAGTCAGTGAAGTCTAGATAAGCAGACAGTACTCCTGTCTTTTTGTGTGTTCAGTTCTTCATATCAACACTGAAAGCAACTGACAACATATAAACTACTTAGCTAAGGACCACCTGATAGTTTCATATTAGTCATAATAATTCATATTGCTGTAATTAGTCTGTCATGTCAGGACAGCATATCCAAATAATCCCTGGTTGTCACTGAAGTATGTATATAATTACTTGCCAGATATTGGTTCCCTCTACCACTCTTCCCATACTTTTCTCCATCAGTAGTTTGTACACTATTTACAGTTGTAAGCAAATAATCAGAAGATCTTTGAAACAAGAACATGAATTGATAACAAACCTGCCAAAGGACAAGGTATGATTGGGAATTTTGTCCCATGCGATCTCACAAAATTACAAATACATGTACCTTTAGAAATCTTTTTGAAACTTATTTGTTACATACACTCCTTTGGATGATAGTCTATTGTTCATTTTAACTCTCAGTGTAGATATAAGGTTAAAATGTCTCAAAACATTGATTTTTGAGGTTTTCAGTTTTTTGAACATTTGAAAATAAGCCACTCAAGGAAGTTATGTCTTCAACCAATGATGATTTTCAAGGGATATCTACATTACAGAAGTACAAGGATGAGGGGAAAATTTGATCTTGGGTCCAGTAAGAGGTTGTTAGAAGAAGGATGTGGAAGTTTCATTGATGAAGGAAGGATGTTGGAGCACTGTGTGATAGCAACCCGTGAAGGTCCTGGTTAGAATGAACCTTCAGTAACCCATGCTTGTCATAACGGGATCGGGTGGTCAGGTTCACTGACTTGGTTGACACATGTCATCGGTTCCCAATTGCGCAGGTCAATGCTCATGCTGTTCATCACTGAATTGTCTGGTCCAGACTCGATTATTTACAGACCGCTGCCATATACTAGTAGCTGGAAAATTGCTGAGTGTGGCATAAAACTAAACTCACTCACTCACTCACTCACTCACTCACTCACTCACTCACTCACTCACTCATTTTGTGACAGCAGGAGTTAATGTAGGTATCGTCAATTGTTGGAGGGAATATAATGATATATTCTGAAGGTGTTACTATTGTTGGATTTCCTTTCATTCATGTGTTCTATCCTGAGTGTGATACTTGCAGACTTCCTTATAATGGCTACTAATTTGAATTCTTTCTATTGGTTGTACGAGGAGAACTGTTTGCCAGAACATCATAAACTTTACCTACATAATAATGTAGAGATGAAGCGATGTTTTGTTAAAACACTTTAGCTCCTGAAAGAGTTGATTAACTTAGCATGAGCCCATGTGTTCACACCTGGAGTTCTGTTACCTGGAGGCTCGTTACATAACACTAACCCGTGTTACTGCATCAACACATGGCTGATGGCTACAGCTAATTTCCTTCAGCAGGAAATCACAGGGTGCCATCTTGTTTATGTGTCTTCCTCTTTACTCCAACATTCCTTCATCCTGCTAATGAGTTGCTCCACTTGGGAGACTAAACCAGCCAGTTTCTGTATACACATCCAGGACCAGCCCATCCCAGAGCTGGGAGGCTGGGAGGAGAGAATGGGGCTGTCTGTCCAGGAGAACTCCGACGGGAGGAGGGACTTGTTTAATGCTGATGTCAGCAATATTCCAACTCCTTAAGCAGCCTGTAAATTATTAGTCTGATGTCTGGATGAGACAGTGTGGAGTTCCAAAGCTAGACTGACCTTCAGTCCCAGAATTAAAGATATCCTAATGAATGTATACAAAACAAGTTCATATGGAGCCAAGAGCAATCCTTTATTTCAGGGTTGGAGCTCAGTCAATCTAGACTTGATAAATAATTGTAGACTTGAGTAGGACTCAATTTAGTTTATTCTCTGTACATGTGGTCCTGGAGATAGATTATTCGAAATTATCAAAATTTTGCCATGATTCCGAGACTGATGACAGAAAGGTCACAAGCCTGACCACCTGATACACATTTGGGTCAGTTGTATGCAACTCATGCTGACCATCATAGCTCTTACTGATGAAGTGGTATTTGCAGAGATCTTGATAAAAGGAGGCTGGAAGTGTTGTTGATGATGATGATGATGATGATGATGATGATGATGATGATGATGATGATGATGATGATGATGATGATGATGATGATGATGATGATGATGAAGAGAAGTTGGTAGACTTCTTGTAGATTAAGTGGTACTTGTAGAGATGCTGGTAATGTTGTTGTTGATGTTGTTTTTTATGATGATGATGATGATGGTGATGATGATGATGAAGACAAGTCGGTAGAGCTCTTGTTGATGAAGGGAGCTCTCTATTAAAGGAGGCTAGTAGAGATGTTAAGGAAAGCTCAGTTGATGAAGTGGTTCTTGAAGAGCTTTTGTTGATAATGGGAGAGTATTAGAGCTATCAGTGAGGTGATGCAAGTAGAGCCATGTTGGATGAAGGAAGGCTAGAAAGGCTTCGTTTGTTGAAGTATTGATGTTAGAGTGCTGCATGATGCTGAGCTCATTGTTATCTCAGTGAAGTGAATCAGAATATTGATAATACATTTTGAGGGTGTTATTCATTTTGGATTTCAGTTCATTCATATCACGCCATGAACAGATTTCTTTATTACCATGTAGAATTCTGTTCTTTGTTACAAAATCACATTTGTTGTTATTTAGGATGTCATTTTACAGTTATTTAATTCCATTTTAGAATAATATGCCTTTTTTATGTTCTATCAAAACATTTCCCATGAGTTTATTTCACATGCATTGTTCCAATATTTCATCTACAGGAGTCAACCAGCCTTTTGCAACCCTACTCTGTTGTTTGTTGTAGATGCCCTATTGGCTGAGCTTGAGTCTAAAGCCTGTACAACCCTGTTGTTTTCTCTGTTGTAGATGCCCTATTGGCTGATCTGCAGTCCACAACACAGAACATATCCACCTACCAGCACCAGATCAACCCTCCAGCACAGGTGATCACCAACACCAACAGGGACAGCTCTGCCTCCAGCCGAGACTCCAGGAGCTCCACCCCTCCACTACCACCCCCACCACCAGTCGAGGTCTTGGATAGTCTACCCCCTCCCAGAGGTCATGATCAGGTGAGAACACAGTTGTATGTCCGGCAATTTTGCCCTCACATGATGGAATTGTGTAACCCAAGTTACCTATTTGATTACTTGTTAGAGCTCTTGTTCCTCGATGGAGTGAGTGAGTGAGCAATATTACAGCTATATGGGGGGTTCCTCCTCGGAGGCTAGTAGAGCTCATGATGAATGGAGGCTACTAGAGCTTATGATGAAGTGAGGCTAGTAGAGTTCATGATGAATGGAGGCTAGTAGAGCTCATGATGAAGTGAGGCTAGTAGAGCTCATGATGAATGGAGGCTAGTAGAGCTCATGATGAAGTGAGGCTAGTAGAGCTCATGATGGAGGCTAGTAGAGCTCATGATGAAGTGAGGCTAGTAGAGCTCATGATGAATGAGGCTAGTAGAGCTCTAGTAGAGCTCATGATGAAGTGAGGCTAGTAGAGCTCATGATGAATGGAGGCTAGTAGAGCTCATGATGAAGTGAGGCTAGTAGAGCTCATGATGAAGGAGGCTAGTAGAGCTCATGATGAAGTGAGGCTAGTAGAGCTCATGATGAAGTGAGGCTAGTAGAGCTCATGATGAAGTGAGGCTAGTAGAGCTCATGATGAATGGAGGCTAGTAGAGCTCATGATGAAGTGAGGCTAGTAGAGCTCATGATGAAGTGAGGCTAGTAGAGCTCATGATGAATGGAGGCTAGTAGAGCTCATGATGAAGTGAGGCTAGTAGAGCTCATGATGAAGTGAGGCTAGTAGAGCTCATGATGAAGTGAGGCTAGTAGAGCTCATGATGAAGTGAGGCTAGTAGAGCTCATGATGAATGGAGGCTAGTAGAGCTCATGATGAAGTGAGGCTAGTAGAGCTCATGATGAAGTGAGGCTAGTAGAGCTCATGATGAAGTGAGGCTAGTAGAGCTCATGATGAAGTGAGGCTAGTAGAGCTCATGATGAAGGGAGGCTAGTAGAGCTCATGATGAAAGGAGGCTGGTTAAGTTCATGATGAAGTGAGGCTAGTAGAGCTCATGGTGGAAGGAGGCTAGTAGAGCTCATGATGAAGGAGGCTAGTAGAGTTCATGATGAAGTGAGGCTAGTAGAGCTCATGATGAAGGGGGCTAGTAGAGCTCATGATGAAGTGAGGCTGGTTAAGTTCATGATGAAGTGAGGCTAGTAGATCTTATGATAATGGTAGGCTAGTTATGTTAGTTTGGACATATGTGCCGTATATAGGCCCAGTGACAGCTTCTAAACTATATGAGGATTCCTCAGTGACCAATTATTTTGTGTGAAGAAGCTGCTCATGATATCAATCCGTGGTTTGATCCCGACATTATTTACAGACTGGCAGGATGTCGCCGGAATAGTGGTGAGTGTAGTGTTAAACATCAAACAAATACATTCTAATGTTGACTGTGGATAGCAGGTGCTAAGAACCCCAACCAAGCCCCACAAGAGTAAGTCTCCAGTAGTGCCCAGCAAGGGAAAAGGGGAATGCTCTTTCTTGTAAACACAAAACACTGCAGGTGGGTGCTAAGTACTGAAATAGCTCCCAAACTTATCCAACAATCCAGGAATAGCACACTGTAATCTGCCAACATAAGTCAGTCTCAGATATATTCTTCCTACCCCAGCAGTTCTGTTTACCCTAGAGTGGGTGTTTGCCAGTGGTATTTTAATAATGTAATGCATCTAGCATCGGTGCTTCCCAGGGAGATGTATGGACTGGTGCCATGTTGAGTTATTCTGGGCACAGGATCTGATAATACCTCACGCTATGTCTGTGGATGTTTAGGGGAATTTTATATGTGAATGTGGATCCAGGAAGTGGGATACGAGAGTAACAGTGTGGTAATGTAGTGAGATAAACAAACTCCCTGATAGTCTGTACACCGACTGTTTATACACTGTCCACATCTAGCAGCATGGAGGAAATGAAGAGTCAAATAATTACTGTTTATTGTGTGAAATGCTCTTGAATGAAGGAAACATGTTTTTATCAGCTATCAATTTAGATAAAATATAAGACAATTCTCATCTTTGAGGAAAAAACAACAGAGCTTTGTTTTCTTATCCTGTTTCTACACAAACAGATTTTGCTCAACTGACAGTTTCCATTGAGATATGCCTTGTTTTTCAATGTCAGAAATGGGTGTGAAAGGGGGAGGTGTGTGAGTTGGGGGGAGTAGGGCGAAGACATCTGAGACACCACAATGTGCTGTGCATATTTTCATCCCTTGAGAACCCGTGAAGATCTGGTTAGAATTGATCTTCAGTAACCCACGCTTGTTGTAAGAGGCGACTAGCGGGATTGGGTGGTCAGGCTCGCTGACTTGGTTGATACATGTCAGTGTATCCCAATTGCGCAGATCGATGCTCATGCTGTTGATCACTGGATTGTCTGGTCCAGACTTGATTTTTTTACAGACTTCTGCCACGTAGATGGAATATTGCTGAGTGTGACGTGAAACTAAAGTCACTCATTCACACTGCATCCCTTGGGCGAGGAGCCATAAACACATGGTTGGTGGTTTGAATCCCAGTTTGCCCTGACTATGTTTCTCGGCTTTAAGTTTCACCAAAGTGCTAAAGGCTCAGACCTGCATCACTTCAGGCTTTACTCCCACGTTTAGGTGACATATGACACATGACATGACTAATACTGCTCTTAGCACTATTCCTACAATATCATTGCAAGGACACGAGAAATGGGCTTCACACGTTGTACCCATGTGAGGAATGTGTGAACCCAGGTCTTCAGTATGGAATATTGCTAAGCCGCGTAAACTTGACTCACACTCCTGTAATATCAAGGACACATTATGGGGCTACCCATGTACCACCCAAATAAAGAACACTTTAACCATTAGGCTACCCTACCAACCAAATAAAGTATTGATGTACACACACAATACACAATTCATTGATAATCAATATTTAGTAAACAATTATTAATATATATGACCTATACTGAGAGAAACGAGTAAATGATCACAGGAAAATTCAAGTCCTTTAATATTTTCCAGTTTTCATTGCCAACTTTGAATAGCACGCGGTGGTGATGGCAACTGGAAAATATTAAAGGAACACTTGAATTTTCCTGTGATCCTTTACTTGTTTCTCCCAGTATATATCAAAAGCCATCCCAAGTCCCTGTAGAGGGTATGTTACACCACCTCTAGCTGAGACTCCCCAGCTAGTTTACATTTAGACAATGTCTACAACGTTTTGGTCACACCTATGACTGACTGATTCTGATTTTTGTCCTTGGCCCGAGTCTTGTTCTGACTAAGATGTAATGTAAATACAACTAAAATACATGTTTGTGCTGGTGGACTCTCAAGTGTGTTGGCACAGACTGCTGACAGGAGCATGATTTGTAGAGGCCTGTTCTTTAATGTCAAGTAGTTCACTTACCCTGTGCAATCTACCGACTCAGATTTCCTCATGCAGTTTTCCCAGAATTAGGTAGCATCCTGAGGTAGCTGCTAAACTTGTACATTATCATGTTTGTATGTTCGGTTTAACAGTGTATGAAATAAGCCAAAACCCCAGCCAGACATCAGGGCTGGTAACTTCAAAATGTTACCAGTCCAAATGGATTTAACCAGACCAGACACCAAGATATGACTCAGATGTATATAGCATCTCAATTTTTTACCAGACCATTGGGCAGGCTAGTTGTAAATCTAGACCGTCCGTCAGAAATCTAACCCCTCTCGGGCGGTCGGACGGGCCTTATTTCATTCACTGGGTTTAACACCGCTTTTAGCAATATTCCTGCAATATCACAGCGGGGGACACCAGAAAATGTCTTTGTATGTAGTAGGGCTGCAACGAATACACTATGTGGCGAATATCGATACGTGTCATGAATATTGGGTAACGATTACGAATAATTGTTCACGAATACAATATTGTAGTTAAGTGGTTAATGTTCAATATGGACGCCCATGTTGACAGTGTTAATTTGTCACAGCAATAACCAGTGATCTCATGACACTCAAATTTGGTATGTAATAGTTATAGTCGACAGTACCATGTGCGGTCTTGGCAAACCAACATAACTTGCACTACTGCAAGGCTAGTACATGTTCCATTCTTGCATATCTCACTTTGGAAAAGGACATACGGGTTCAACTAAAACATGCTCCCTTAAAAAATCGTAAATATTTGTTAATATTCAGTTCTGGTGACCACGAATAACGAATTGAATTCATGAAGGGCTATGGTTCGATTAACGAATATACGAGTGAATCGTTACAGCCTTAGTATGTAGTGTCTGATATTCATTGTATATGAATATATGAAGTGATTTTATGCTGGTTTGGTTGTTGTTTCAATACTGCACTCAGCAGTATTCCAGCTATATGGTGGCGGTCTGTTTAATTATTGTGTCTGGACCAGACAATCCAGTGATCAACAGCATGTGCATTGATCTACGCAAATGGGTTATGTCAACCCAGTCAGCGAGCCTGACCAACCGATCCCATTAGTCGCCTCTTACGACAAGCATGGGTTGTTGAAGACTAATTCTAACCTGGACCTTCACGGGTTGTGTGAGGTAGTGAGGTTCAGTGGCTTGGCTGATGGATGTCATCATATCCCAATTTGCATCAAAACGTTTAACAACATTCACACAGGCTTGAAAAGGCCTTGAATCTTAGGATCCCTCCAGAAAAGCCTGCAGCTTAAGTGTCCAAACATCATCACCAGAATGGCCTGCGATGCCTGGAATGAATACAAAGCTATATATACATATTCTTCTAAGGTTTCTTACACTGACAGATTTGATTGCCAAAAACCATTTGGAAATATGAGACACTTTATTATTTATCATGTTGTGAAAATAAGTTTGGTCCCCTTCGGGTCTTATGACATCTTGTATGCTTAATCTCAGAACTGTTTTAACAGCCTACGGCTTTTAAACAAACTCTGAAATCATTGAAACAGACTACTGACTGCCTGGACCTTGTGTTTTGGCCATTTTTGGTGTAGATGCCAAACTTTCATGACTGACTGGTGCTATGCATAGTGTGTAGTATAATCTAGTTGTTTTACTCTCCTTCGTTGACAGGTTTTTTATAATTTTCCTTTAGTTTATATTAACTTGATTTAGTCACGATATGGCTGAAATATTGCCAAAGTGACTTTAAATTTTAACTCACTCACTCATAGTGTGTAGCCTTGTGTGTATAGTGCTGTGAAGCAGGATCATCTTCACCTATTACTGTTAATGTTTAATGTAGGGGAGCCCCTATCAGCTTCTCATGCCAGAATGTGTCAGAGAACTGTGATGACATCGTCACATACTGTTGGCAGCAGCATGAAAACATCTTCCACGTAACAAGCCGAGCTACTGAATAATCCATGGTTCACTCTCACTATTGTCTAGACATGTGTTTGATCTGTGCATGGTCAACATCAGACTTTGATGTTGCCATGAGGCTCTTTGAAGAGCTCTTGAAGATATGGTTTAATCAGTGATATGAACTGATATGCGTCATTATTTCAGAACAAATTAGTTTTGACCATAAACAGATAATTTCTTCTCATTCATCCAGCATGTTGAAGGTTGGGATACACTCCCTCCCTCCCTCCCTCCCTCCCTCCTCCTTCACTCAACCACTTCACTCACCACTCACCCACTCACTCACTCACTCACTCACTCACTCATTCAGGTACCATATTGAGATATTATTATTGTCACTGATCAACCAGTCTCTGAAATATAATCTGATGTCTCACAGCAGCAGTGTGGCTTTAAACAGCATTCAAATGATGAACAACTATACTTTTCTACTGTTTTCTCTTCCAATTATATAAATGTCAACTTCTTTTGTGAAAGGAATTAAAGCATGTTTGCCATGACCTCTGTATGAGCAGGTTTCTTTCCTCTTAAAGAAATAGTACTTTGTTAAACATGAATGAGTTTAATTGTTTCCGGTAGGAGTTCTCAGCATGGGATAATTACCAGTGTTACATGGGAAGGAGGTATAAGTTTGTTCCAAATAGTAAGGAGAATAGCAGAAAATATTCCTTTCAGTTTTGCTGAAGACATGTGTAAGTAAAAAGTGTTTTGCTAATGATCATTGTAACAATATGTGGACTTGACTATGAGCCATGCATACTGGATAATTACTCAGCAGTGATGCCTATAAACAGGCTTCTATTCCTTGTAGAACAGTTGTTGTTTTGTGACCTAAGGCAGCCTTCTTTGGTCATGAGGTGATAAATAAGATGGTGTCATGTGACATCATTTTCCCAGTTGTTCAGCTCTCCCTACAATGCTAAAGCCGTAAATGAAGTAAGTCTAGATTTCCTCAGTTTCAGGGAATTCCATTTCAATTTATATGTGTTTGTTTGTTACTATGAAAATTATATATTCAGAGACTTAATATAGCACCAGTGATGTGTAGTAATGTCCTTTTTTAAGACTTAGGTGCTGAATCCAGGAAGTGTGAGATCAATTTTGGATGAATATTGTGTATGTCATATTTTGTTAACCTTGAACATGTCGAAGAATGTCCCTAGTCAAGGTACTGATGAAACTGGACAATGCAGTGGTTCAACACACCAGAATGCTTATTGCTATTCTCTTCTTCCAGCCAATCTACGAGCCCCAGAATTTTCGTATGAGAGAGACGACCCCCACATCTGACACATCACAAAGTTCTGACTTGGCCTCGCTCCCAGACAAGGGGAGACAACAGCAAGGGATGTCGCAGCTCAGCTCCAACCTGTCCGAGCTGGACCAACTCCTACAGGACCTAAACTCAGCTCAGTTCCTGTCCGAGGTCGAGAAGAAGTCATCTGGTGGTGAGAGGACATGCCTTACTCTTTTTGTGGTTATAAGAGGCTTTATCTTGCCTCACACATAAATGTTGTTTTCTGATTGGCTGAGCGCTGTTCTATTATTTTCACTGTACCACGCTTACAAGCAAGTAACATATTCTGTGTACCCCGCTGGGAATGCCGAACTCATTTGGTACTTCGTAGTAGTAATTCTTTATCTCGAATAACATTGAATCACGTATGATGTATGGAAATTACCAATGTTTTGCGAATGCAAATCGATGGAAGGGAGATAACTCTTGATTGTTGATTGGATTGTTTACAGGTCACTATGACAAAACTGTGATATAGCTGAGTGTGCAATCATTGTTGAGGTAGATAAGTTGTTACCCATACACATAAGAACACACTCTCAATGGGGTGGCGAGGCACAATGACATGGCATTAATTGTTGTTCATAATATCAATCACTGGACTTGATTGTTTACAGGTCGCTATGACAAAACTGTGATATAGCTGAGTGTGCAATCATTGTTGAGGTAGATAAGTTGATTTCCCATACACATAAGAACATACTCTGAAAAAAATCAAATTAGGCATTTTAACAGCTACATGCTGCTTCATCCCTGTGTTCATGGTGTATCAGGTGTATCAGGTGTTGAGGCACATGCACCCTCCCCCTGTGTACCTGTATGTGCAGGAGTATTCAGACTGCTCAGACTACAGGGAGTAAAGTAGGGCACAGGTTGTTTACAGGAAGTTAGTAATTACACCATGCTCCATTATGTAGATGTGTGTGATGTGTCAGCACACACAGGACCTACTCCATGCTAGAATAATGCATGAGGTGTAATTTAACTGATGTTTCGGGTTGTTGTTTTTTCGGCTCAAGGTAAAATCACTAATTAGTACTCAGTACATACACAAGATAACAATAATGTAATAAATGATAATAAATATGATAGGCTAAATGAGTATATTTATCATTTCTGCCTTTAATAAATAATTACTTTATGCGTTTGAGGCAGCGCCGCAGCAGATAGGTCGCATTATGCAGAGTCTAGCCATGACTGATAATACCTGAACCCTCGCCAGTCTACCTGCTGTTGGTCGACCCCGCCCCGTCTGGTGTTCCAGCTAGAGTGCTGAGAGGCGTGGGACGAGTCCGCCGCCTCCAAGAAGCGTCCTGCTTCCCCAGACATCCCATCGCCGCAGCCGAAGACTAGAGTTTTTCTACTGCATCTCAACGCTTAATTCCTGAGGGGAAATCAACGAAGTCTACTTGAACTTTCTCAGCGAGATTGTTCCGTCGCGAGATTTGGGCCTGTATGATGATCAGCCGATCATCATACCTGATGTACATCAAAAGAATGACCGATGTCGGCAACAGTGATGTCAGCGCAGATCAACATGCAGCCTGATGTACCAACGATGATATTCTATGATCTTCCTGAGGGTCCCGTCGCTACCAACACTCAACGCGAGACTTCGCGCACTCCCCAGGGCAGCGCCGACCTCTGAGGGGAAATCAACGAAGTCTACTAGGACTTTCTCAACCGAGATTGTTCCAGCCGCTGAACTGAGCCTCTACGATGATCAGCTGATCATCATCCCCCTCGACGACGCCGTAGAAGCGACCGGAGACATCTACAGTGACATCAGCAGAGATCGCCATGCAGCCTGATGTCTCTACACTGGCGCCAGACGACTTCCTGAGGGTCCGCTGCTAACATCGCCTTGAGAGGGCACCGACTAATTCGTCGCAGACCATCCCAGATGAACTGTTGCGGCAAATCATGATCATGATGGAGGGCCACCACAGACTGGGAAGCAGCCAGCCCAAGGCCCCGAGCCTTCGCTGGAAGGTTCCAACGCAGACGACACCCCAGAGGCACCCCCAGCAGCGTAGCAGCCACGACGGCCAAACTTCGCGAAGGAAGTCGCAGACCACCTCCACGGCGACCCAGATGTACAGCCTTCGCGAAGGCCTTCGCTAAGCGGGATAGATCATCACCTTCCTCGGCTTCATCCCTAGATGCGGACTCAGACCGTCAGACCTCACGGAAGCCCTTTCGGTCAAATCGCCGTTCCCCAGGACCGGACGCAGAGGAAGCTTCGCTAAGGCCTTCGCTGAGACACCTGACTACGACGAGCTTCAGCGAAGCTATCAACATTCTCCTCACAGGTCTCCGAGAAGGTCAACCCATAGGCGCCAGTTCACCAACACGATCTCAGCGCCGTTAACCGCTACCGATCTCCTCGTACATCACCACACAAGTCTGCACACAAGTCTACAGTCAGGTCTCCCCGGCGTCACCCGACATAGAGATAGAAATACACAGTCCACCATCAGAAGAGCATCAACCTCTCATCAGTGATGCTGGGATGAAAATGATGGAGGCATCATTTTCTCAGGCGGCTGAGATCACGATATTGGATGGTAAACAACCTAGATCTCTCTTCACCTTCCAAGAGTGGCAACTTCGGCGCAGACATACCTGATAAAGGAAGGCGAGGCAGGCGCCATCACCTTACCTCCAATCGACTTCGATTGCTGCGGTGCCACAGTATGTAGACACAGCCTACCATAAAGCCATAACAGTTCAAGCGCCAGCGTATGTTATTGGCATTAATAGATCTAGAGCGATCAATGAGATTCTTATCACCAGATTTACGTGACCACGACTTCTGAAGATGATAGGATGATCTACTCGGCTCTACTTATGCAGAACCAGCAAGAACCACACCCTGTATGAAGCTAGCGGCTCATATATTGATCGGTTTCTAGACACTTCGCTAAGGAAGTCCCAGGCCACCTCAGAAGGAGCTACAGCCTCACCAGTTACAAGGGACGTCCGCGGAGGAGTAAGCTTCACCGACCCACATATTGCTGAGTCGCGGCGTAAAACAATACACTCACTCACTCACTCCCTGTTGAACACAGAGGTGGATTGAAAGCAAGCGGCTCATATATAATATATATACTGATGGGGCTCTGACTCAAATAGCCAGCGAAGGTCGCTCGCTGAAGGCTAAGTTAACTCAAGTCTACCTCACACAGGAAATCTAGATTGGATGCTTGAGGCGAAATCTCCGGCGTCCACCCAGGAATTCTCCTCCAAGGTCTCCATATATTAGCCACTTTCGTCATATATAGCTACTTCGTCAGTCCGTTCAAGACATCGCATAAGTTGTCTATCAACTGTATGCCATATGCAAATCTATAAGCCTACGAAGACAATTGCACAGGCTATTTACAACACAGAGCGTCGCTATATTAATTAATCAACGGACGTTGCATAGATCTTCACAGAAATCAACCTTTCGGTATGGATTGCTAGAATATGCAATCCCGGGACTCGATACGATTATCTACATGCGTGACCATTACGCAGATCTGCAGACAATTCAATATCGAGGAAATTGAACAGCAGCCTTGTTACAGCGAATTATAACTCATAATCGTCAAAGTTTCTGAGGAAGAAATATGTACAACAAGTTCAGCTTTAATTCTACAATTATGACGATACATTCATGTATACAGTCTACAAGCTGACAACTTGCAAGTTTATTGTACCTTTATATAAGAAAGTCGGAATTATATTCAAAACTGAACTTACTTTCACGACAGCCAGGAAAATAACCTACCCAGCATTAATATTACAGGCGAGGTATTTGGGCCGGAGGTTTCAGCGTTTACCTTTAACCCTCGAAAAACATTGGTCACTCGGGTAACCGGGAAGCTCACGGTGAAGACCGGCGATTATGCTAATATCAGCGGCGGCAAGATTTTATACAAGGTTTTTCCTGCTACACGGTGACATCACAGCGGGTATTCTACAGAATCAAAATGCCTTGTTCTGATTGGACGGCGTTGGACCAGCGACCTCACATGAGAGGTCGATCTTAGTTCACAGGTCAACACTTACGTTACAAGTGACAACTATATATCAGTGAGCGAGCAAGCCTCCTTACAGTCCAGTTAATCTGAACCTTCATGATTGGGCTGCTTTCTTCCAGGTTATAGACCTCCCCTGTCAAGTTAGGGCCGAGGCACGCGGCAGTCAGGCAATTTTACATAAACTTCAGCGAGGACAGACACGCTTGGTTGTGCACCTACATCGTCAAGGACTTACTTGGCGAATAACCTAGACGCGGCGGGATACAAGTGGATCTAAATCCACAGCGTCTCAGACTACAGCTGAATTTCATAATCAAGCTACTAACACAACTAGATGGTTAGTAAACCTGCTTAAACTTTCTGATTGGAGAATTAAAGCGGAAGTTTCACCCTCCAACTTGGGGATCTGAATATAGTGCTCCTACACCTCACAAGTGAGGTTTATGAACTCGCAACCTGGATGACATACTTGGACTTCGCTTGATGCGATGATTCTATCACGATGGCCAGCAAGAGCACTGTAAATTTATCTCCACCCGAACCAAACAGAAGGGAATAATACAACAGATTATTTCCTCTATCATCAACTTACATGGGAATGAAATCTCACGCATTACTATATCTCCGTTTGGATCAGAACTGTCATACTCGTACGCATACAAGACAGATGGACCCAATCCGACCCTCCATGAGCTTTAATACTCATGATATTAGAGCGCTAACTTCTGCATTGATCTACACAATGTTATTTGAAATAATGGAGGGTTTATTTTCTGGAGATCCGATATGGTGATTGCCAACCATTATCTGAGAGATATCATCACCCGAGGGGCGTCTCAGGTATCCGCAATTAGATCCCATGGTCTCCTTTAACAGTTGACAGTTCCTGGGAGAAGATAGTCGATCTTACAGATTTCTACTTATCTTATAACAGTACTAAATAGCTACATGCTATATATAATTTGCTTAAGTTCTTTTTATCATCACAGTACTATGATTATTACATCATACAATATATAAGTTAACAACTCTACAGAGTTGGTTATTATATATTTACCTTAACAATTATATCTTAAGCATAGTACTATACTCAGATTGTAAAAATATATAAGCTAACAAACTC